CATTATCCTGGTTATCTTCAATTTCACTGTCTTCATCTTCTTCATCTTTTTCTTCACCTATACTATCTTCAATGCTGTTGTTTTCACTCACACCTTCACCCATCTCATCTTCACTCCCGGTGACTTCATTCACATCATTTTCGAATTCATAATTTTCTTTATTGTTTTTTCTCCTCTTTTGATCATCATTTACTTTACTTTCTATTCCTATTTCGTCATCTTATCTATGAATGAAAAAAGAGTTAGTATTTAAAATGTATTAATTTTCATATAAAATTATAATTACCCTGATTAATTGAATTTCTTTTTTTATTTTAACTAGAAAATCGAACGCGCTTTGCGCGCTTCTGTCAAAATGTTTATTATCGACAATATAATTAATCAATATTTTTACAAATTTTACTCATTAATATTTAACTGTTGCTATGGTAACCGTTGCTATGATAACCATTGTTAAAAAAGGTCATCATACACAGTAAAAAATTTTGCGTCAAAAAATTTTGTGTTAAAAATTTTTGTGTTTTTTAATTGTAAAAATTTTCACATTAGAATGACAGATATTTATTTTTTTTTTCAGAAGACAATTGCTAAACGATAAAAATAATAGACTATCATTTTTTTTTAATTATTTTTAAGGAAGTCCTTTCGCTCCAGTTGAGTCAAAACAATTGTAGTAGTCAATATACGATAAACTAAAATAAAAAACCCATAAAAATTCCTAAAATTAAATAATAAATAGTATATAAGGCATTAATCGTTGAAATTTTGAAAATAAAAAAAAAATAGTTAAATACAAAAATTAATTTGACTCTTTCAAATCAGCTGCTAGTAACCTGTCCGTGATTTGGCAACGCTGTACTTCGGTTGTTTATATTTTCATTTGCACAATATAACCTTAACCACGTTTAAGTTTTTGCAGTCAGTGTAAATAAATAAATTAGTTTGAATTTATTGAATGAAACCTGAATATTTCGAAACTCTTATTTTGAGTTTTTTTTATCCCATCTAATCGGTAGGTAATACCGTAATTCGAGAAAGTTATTAAGGTCTGACTTTCTCGTAAGACTCGGAAAAAATACTAACAATTTTAAAAATTTTTTTTTCAAAAATTTGTACCGTAAAGACTAAATTAAACTTTATTAGTAGATGAATAAGGACTTTAATTATTAGATAAAAATTAATTTTATGCGTAATCTAATATTTTTTATTTAACATTGATGGCGAAAGGACCTCCTTTTAATTAGAAATAACTTCATTTAACAAATTTTGATTAAAATTTAATTTATTATATATTATTATATTAAGAATTGCTTCTATGCGCCCGGTGACGAGTCGAACAACTACTCGATAAAAATCGAAAGGTAAAGAAAAGTCCTTACCTACCGCGGTGACAATTACGGTCGATAATGATCTCGCGGAAAATTCGATTTTACCTGTTACAACATAAAGGATTTGTTATTTCCCTGATAGGAAAAAATAACTGGCGTCCAAACGTGCACTAACATAGCCTGAGTTGCAGCTGCGGTGTTGCTTAGAAGACTGAAAGCACCTTCCAAGTCCTTTATTCTCGTAAAAATTCATTTTGGGCGACCTGGATAAGGTTCTCTATTTCTATATAATAATAAATCTTTATTAAAACATAACCGATTAATTGTTATTATTGCGGAATATCGCGGGAATGTAACAGAATAAAATGAATGCATTTTCCAAACACTTGATGTGTGGAAAAGAAATTTTACTACTTATTTAAATAAAATTCGTAAAAAACATATTAAATTTATTTTCTATAAAAAATTGATGCCACTGAGAAAATTTTAAGTAACAGAAAAATTCGTCGCACTTGAAGCTAGACAGAGATTTCAATATTTTCTTTTTAATTTGTCAAAATTTCATAAACGTAAATCGATCTACATAAATCTGAATGAATATACAATTTCTTTTTATTATGATATGAGATATCGCGTGACTATTAAAAATTTGATGACCTAAAGCTAAAAGGGCGTATAAATTTTTTTTTAAGCAATTCATTTAAATGCTTAAAATTACAATTAAAAATATTTAAAAAAAATTGCAAAATACGCGTGATTGTATCAATTCATTTTTATTTGAAAATTATTTCGAAATTCTTACATAAAATTAAAAAAAAACAAAAGATAGAAAGAAAGAAAAAAAACACATTAACGAGTTTATTTAGGTGTGATTCCGACACCCTCTTGCTCCATCTCTGTCACATTTTCCTCTGAAATATAAAAAAAAAACTCGCAAAATATTAAAAAACTTTTTTTTATAAAAAATTCCAATCAAGCAAGAGCATATTTGTTAGTATGATTAAACAGCAGAATTAATTTGGAATCTTTAAAAATTAACCAACAATGGCGTGAGACAACGTGTCTTTATTCTCTAATCATATGTCAACATAACCTCTTTACATATTTAGCTCTATATTTTTTATTATTACTAAGACACTAACACTTTACACCATTGTTAATAAGTTTCTTTTTACCAATTATACATATGTTACAAAAAAATGTTGGGTCTTAACAATTATTTAATTAATCGCGAGTTTGAAAATTTTTACTTGCGCCTGTTTTCGATTCTACGAGAGATTTTACAAATTTAGGGTGAATTTTATTATTTCGAAGTTGGCACTACTTAACTCTGTTATTCTACCGTCTAAATAGCTAGTATACTAAATACTGAACTTAGTGCCCATACGTAGTTGGTCTTTAGTTTAGAATTTCAATATACGACGGTAGGTGGAGCCACAAAACCATTACCACTGTATTTTAGAAGCATATTGGTCAGTCACGCGCATCATTTAAAGTAAAAATATTGTAACTTCGTTTGTAATTAAATTATTACAAAAATTCATGAATAATGAATTAGCTGTATAACTTAAAAAGTACATATTTGGAATTTAAAAATGCTGATAAAATATTTGATTATATCCCTTAATATATTCAAATATTTTATCAGCATTTTTAAATTCCAAATATTTACTTTTTAAGTTATGCAGCTAATTCATTATTCATGGATTTTTGTAATAATTTAATTACAAACGAAGTTATTACAATATTTTTACTTTAAATGATTTGCGTGACTGACCAATGTGCTTCTAAAATACAGTGGTAATGGTTTTGTGGCTCCACCTACTGTCGTATATTGGAATTCTAAACTAAAGACCAACTACTTATGGGCGCTAAGTTCAGTATTTAGTATACTAGCTATTTAGATGGTAGAATAACAGAGTTAAGTAGTGCCAACTTCGAAATAATAAAATTCGCTCTAAATTTGTAAAATCTCTCGTAGAATCGAAAACAGGCGCAAGTAAAAATTTTCAAACTCGCGATTAGTTAAATAATTTTTAAGACCCAACATTTTTTTGTAATATATGTATAATTGGTAAAAAGAAACTTATTAACAATGGTGTAAAGTGTTAGTGTCTTAGTAATAATAAAAAATATAGAGCTAAATATGTAAAGAGGTTATGTTGACATATGATTAGAGAATAAAGACACGTTGTCTCACGCCATATGTTGGACGTGTACTTGGCGCGAGACACTATCGTGTCTTCGGATTTTTTTATACGCCCTTTTATCATGGATTCCTACTAACCTGTAGCTATACGTCCTTTTTGCATTTGTCACGCGATATAGATTATATAATATACACATCTAGTTTTAATTGAGAAATACCGTGTTACAAAAAATATGATTCTTAACCATTATTGCACTGGCAATAAAAACTTTTAATTGATAAAAATAAAACGAGTCTTACTCCAATATATCCACTTTTATTACAATTAAGCTGCTTCACTTGTTAGACATTTCAATAAATTACATCAAAATATTCATGAAGAAATATCTTAAACCCTTCACAAATTTCGCCTATGGAGCATTTCACTTAATAATTATTAGATAACCTAATAATTTTACACATAATGACATAAACAGCCATAATAGGTGGTGAGGGTCAATGACTTTTCAATAAATTCTTTTATTCTCTTACGCTACAAGTAAACAGCGGAAGCATTGACATAGTAGAGTGACAATGCGATTCCATCTTCTCTGACGTCATCTTATATAAGAACAAATAAAATGTTTGTGAACGCTAATTAAAAATTATAAGTAAATACTTTTTTTTATTGAATAACATTGAAATCCGTTGAAATTGGTTCAAGGAAAAGAAAAGCGTAATTTGTTGAATTTTTTTTAAATTCAAAATCAAATAACTGATAACCTTAATCGGCTATTACATTTCAAATAATAATGAAATTTTTTAATATTAAATATAAACACATTCATTTATATCTATATTAACTAAGTCCAATTCCGTACAATTCCTTAGACCGTTTGTAGAAAAGTCCTTAACGCATAAGGGTAATCCTAGTTTGAATCCTCATCCTGGCTGTCCAAATTATTTTTTTTTGAGCTATAATCTTAAACTTTCTAAACACATTATCATTTTAATTAATCTACATAGTAAAAATCATTATGTGAATATATAAATAATTCTTATAGAAAACAAAAATTTCCAAGTTGCAATAAACTTATTTGTACATTTGTTTAATCAATTTTCTTATACTAACATTGATAAAATAGCTATGTAAATCATCATTTTTATTTCTTAAAAATATTATTAGGGCTAAAATGAAGTATGGTCAAATAAATTATATCGCCAATAATCGAGTAATGTGTTCTGTATTTCATGAATGATTATATATAATGACAAATTAATGTATCTTGATTAGTTTTCATATTTTGGGTCCAAGTTTAAATATGAAGTAATAATTGTTATCTAAATTTCGTTGAAATCATGTGAATTAGTTATTTAATGATACTGATAATCTATTAACAATTTATCATAGCTATAGAATATTCTATGTGAATTATTATTATTATTATTATTTTTTTTTTTTTAAGTATGTTCTTGAACTTAAAACGATCAAAAATCGGTTTAAAGTAAAAGAACTATGTAAATCTGTTTTATTATTATCATCGTTATTGGCTTTTTGTACTTCCATTAGTTATATTTTGCGTAATACCATTTTGATTAATTTTTGGCGTTGGTTTTTTTATATACGCCTTATAGTAGAAATCTCCAAATAACACCATCATGAAAAGGTTTTGTGGTATAAATATTGCCGCAGGCCAGAGAGGAAAACCACAATCTTTTGTCCAGATTAATTGAGAAAAGTGAATCAGAAGCAGAAAAAATTGAGTGAGTTGAAGTTGAGTGATGTATTTTTTCCACCAGGGTTTACTTATTTTTAATGATGTAGCTAAATAGTGACTATACATAATGACATGTACAAAAGAGTTGACTAAACCTGAAACGAAAAATATTAAAATTCAGTCATTTAGTATGATAAAAAATATTTTAAAAATTTCAATAAAAATATTATTTTATTTGCCTAAAAATGTGACATGGCCGCCTGGTAAAAATTTAACTCCACCCCACGCGCCCATTACCATTCCGGCGTGATGATAGACGTGAAGAAAAGATACTTGATTTTGTTTTTTTCTCAAAACAAAAAACACTGTGTCCATCAAATCAAATAATTTAACCATAAAATAAAACCACACAGCTCCCGCAATCTAAATAATTGTAAATCATTATGATAAATAATTAAAATATTTTAATGTTTAAGTATGCAAGCACAATAATAAAAAATTACCTCGACTGCTCGCGGAGAGTTTGAATAATCAACTGGTTGACAAACAAAACTATATTCATTAAGCCACGCAAGGGATAAAGCCTAAAAAACAACAATTTTTTGTTATATTAATCTACATAGTAAACTTGTCAGTTGTTAATTAAATTACCTTATACACAAGATAGCCACTTAAATATATTTGAATAACATTATAAATCTGCATTATTCTATCTAACTTCATTGGCGGCCTGTTTGCCATAAGTCTTGGCCCTAAAGTGAATACGAAGTATAAATAAAATGCAAGTATTGCAAAACCTGGCCATGGTGAAGACATTAAAAACCAATCCTTCGTCCTTGGATCTTTATAAATAAGATAAGTAATGTTGTAATTTCCACGAATATTAAATTAATATTTAAAAACAAATTGTAGTTACCTGATACTTCATCATTAATATAATGATATAATCTTACAAGAGATCTAATAATTGTTGCCATACTTTTTAGTCACTGACGAAAGTATCGCTTTAAAACTCAGAAATACGAGCTTTGAGTATGTCATACGTTTTTTTCAGTCAAATTTAAAGTATTTTATGTTGTTTATAATAATTGTAATAACTTGTGACTTTGAACATAAGTGTTATGAAAAGTAAAACTAAACTGTATATTTTATTCGTTGATTGTTTGATTTCGTTTGAAAAAATTTTATTCGTTGATTGTTTGATATCGTTTGAAAATATTAAATATATTTTATAATTAATTAAGAAAAAAAAATTAACATTACATCTAGTACTAATATTTTAAATAAGAAAGAGAAGCACCCTCCGGTTCACACAACTACCGTGAAATATCGCAACTGACTGAAGGAAATTTTCATTGCGAATAATTTGCGTAAGCATTGTATTGTTATCATGATGTTAGTATGAGATCATAGGTGTGTTTGTGTATATTGTAATGGTTTATTGGTCTCAAAATCACCAGTGGCATATGATAATTACTTACACTAACTGATGCTCACCAACAATAATATACAACTTGTTTATTTAAGTTTTTAATGGTTTAAATTTAAAGGATTTTGATTGTTTGTTAGAAATGATAAAAAGGAGAAATTTATTATTATGAATACTTTCATATTATCCATAATATCAAAATATCAAAAAACTCAGTTATTATTGTGTTAGATAATATTGAAAAATATTGTAGCAATTCGAAAGTTTATCTAATAAAAGGGATATTTTCTCACTATACAATTAGAGGAGCAAGATAGATATTGTTATTTTTACAATTTCATTTTATTTTTAAAACAAATTATTTATTTACAATACATACGTTGAATATTTATTTATTAAATCCACTTTTTGGGTATGTAACTTTTATTATTTATATGAACAATATTACTTATTTTACTTATTTAAAGCAAGTAAAATTATCGAAATTATTAATAATTTCAAATGCTTCAAAGTGGTCATCGAAGTCACAAATAACTTGAGTTGTAATGATAAATATCTCAATATTATTAGGCATCATCACTATAATATTATGGGAATAGTTCCTATAATATTATAGAAACTATTCCTATATATTGTAGGAACTATTCCTATATATTATGGGAATCATGTCGATATTACAGTTATAATTATAGGTATCGTTTCTATAATTATAGGAACCATTCCCATAATTATAGTAACATTTTCCAAAAATTATGGGTATACAATTCCCATAATTTAAGTAATCGCTCCTAAAATGGTATAGGAAAACATTTCATTAAAATTATAGGAATGATTTCCATATTTTTCTCTCCGTAAGCTAGCTCAAGAAACTTCACGAGCTTGCTAAGTTTTCATTCATGATTATGTTCAAGAACTAACAGCTCAAATGGTCCAGTAAATACCTTATCAAGCTATCTATTTGTGAAAAATCTAGTTACTAAAACTATCCTGAATAAAAAAAAGTATTGAGATAAAGAAAAAAGTATTGGAAAGTATTAGATTGACTAGAAAACCAATACTTTTCAATACTTTTTTCTTTATCAGGGTAAGTTTCTTGTATATACTAGTCCTTTATTTCTCTCTGTTCCCAAGTGGTTAACTACACTGATAAAAAAAATATCTTCATTCAAGAAAAATATTCTTGCTCCAAGAAAATTATTTTGAAGAGAACTAGTTGTCTTATTTCAAGAAATTCTTGTCTTGATTTCATATTTCTTGGAGTGAGAGATCTAATCACTCCGATCGATAACATTTTTACTTGGTTCAAGACTATATTATCTTCGATCGATACAAGTGAATTCTTTATTCAAAAACGATTTCTCTTCAATAAAGAATAATTTTATTTCATTTCAAGAATTATTGATTGTTGATTCAAGAAATAGTTGATTCAATTAATTAAATTAATTGTATTCTTTCTTACGTCTTGTAACATTCCTCAATCACTCCATACCAGCATTGTATTCTCAAGTCTTATCATCAAAAATACCCACTTGGGTACTAAGCATGGAGATACACAAGTCGCTCGACTTCATCTCAAAACTCTCGTGAAAATCAGACTAGAAACAATAACTTTTCAAATAATTAGACATCAGCAGGAGTAACAGCAGAAATTATGATTATTATTACTAATTACTATACGAAAGACTAATAATCAACTATTTGTAACCAGGTATAAATAAAATATTTATTTAAAAATTGTTATTATTTCTGTAATGTTTCATATATTGTAGTAAAGTGTTGCAAAAAGGAGTTTATAATTAATAAGAATAATCGGAAGTGATGACTGCTCGGGTCTCACAGTCCTGACCTTATAGCGATCGACCACGACAGTGAATATGCGACGCACCGTGATTCGATAAATTCGACGAATTGGCAATTAGCATATTTATCGTGTAGATAATACGATATTGACATTCTTCAGTAATAAATATAGAATATAAATATGCTTACCTTCTAATTTCCCGAAATGAAAGTTAGAAATTTTCAAAAAAATCAAAACGGCATTGGGGTTTCGGATCTATTGATGAAAATGGAGTTTCGATGAATTCTGGATATTTTTAAGTCTTGATAAGTTATTAAAGAAAAATAAATTTATCTTTCATTCCCCCATACCCATAAATATAGAAAGTTTTGAAATAATTGTACAAATGTTAGTTTCATTTTGTAAAAAGATAAATATTTTATTAATATTAAACATATTATTAGTGAATGCACATTCTTTAAAAATAATATCAGATACATTTTTTCATAAGCTGTCATTACTCTTTTTAATTAAATTGGCTAAATATTTAATTTTTTTGTATACAAATTAACTACAAATAGTATATTTATAAAAAAAAAAAGCGTAAAAAAAATTAAAATAATTACGATTGTATACTCAGTTTTTCAGATTTAAGTTGTTCTAAAATCAAAACTATTTATAACGTTATATGTAAGATAGACAACTTCTCTTTTGCTAAGGCAATTCTGTTTTGGCCTATAAAGCATATTGCTTTTTCAATCATCAAATTATATGTTTCCGCATTGTAATTATATGGAAATGTAAAGTTCGGGTATTATTTTTCGAGTCGAACAAAATTACTCTGTCAGACTGAAATCATCCAAATTGAATGTACTAATGAATTTGAATACTTATATTATTAATAATAGTCACATAAATAGTATGCATAAAATTTAACTTAATAAATAATTGAATCGCACGAAAAAAAAATACTGTTGAGTTACAGTAAAACTGCAATTCGGTAAATTTTTTTTCTGAAACTCTACAAAAATTTTTTTTGAATAAATTGTTTATTAAAATTATATCTACGAAAAGAAAAATATAGAGATTGTTCTCATATTTTTATGAAATTTTTTCGTATACTTTTAAAGGAATTACGATCATTTATTATGGAAACTTTTCCCCTACCGTTATGGGAACCCTTCCCGCACTCTTATAAAAACCATTTCTATAATATAGTCATAATAGTATAGGAACAACTCCTATGATATTATGGGAATCATTCTCATGATGTATAGGAAAAATTCCTATAATTTTCTTTCCGTGTATATATATGAATATATTGTAATTCGTCGATTAGTGTGAAATTGTCTCAAAACTTCATAAAAAATGATAAACGGAAATACCATACAAAAAGTCGAATTAAAATTCAATTATAAATTATTAATGATTAACTTGCTTCATTTACTTAAATTGAATGATATATTACTCAATTTTGCAGGTAACTGTTTAAATTCTTATGTTTTAGTTCTGAACTTTTCACTTGAAGTTTTCAACGAATTCGTCTGGTTTTAAATTAAATAATCATAATAATATATAATTAATCGCCTTTCATTATTTGAATATTAATTCTCCCATAAGGAAGAAGCTAATAAACAACTTTACCAGGCTATTTTTATATTTCTACAGATAAATCTTACTACAGTTAAATATCACTATTAAAGATTTCACATATCATCGAAGTAACAATTCGAATATGAGTTCATGTCTAAGCCCGACGAAACCATTGCAGTCACAGTTGTGAAAAATCAATTATTTTCTCCATAAAAATTGTTAAACGAAAAAAATCATCGGAAATTCAGTACATTATCGTTAATAGTTAACTTTGACGAGTAATTTTCTTCAAATTCTCATTTATTTATAACTTTCAATGTTTTTAGATCAATTTTATTGAGATAAAAATGTTGCTATTGCTTTCAAAAGATAATATCGATTTCTACTTTGCGTTCAATCTTGTAGATAATGATATTTAATATAAATAAGTCAAATACAATATAATTTTCAGTTTAATTTAAATGAACTTTTCGATAGGTGTGCAAATTCATGTATGAAATTTTTTAAAAACGTTTTTTTTTTTTTTCGTTAAACTCAGTCACGAAAATTAATTTTTCCGGTTGAGTTTATTGATCAATGCTTATCCAATCAATTTCTTAGAGATATCAATAGTTCTTTAGAATGAAAATCTACTTTAAGAAAACAAGAATTATTATTTACAATTATAAATGATAAAAAATTGATTTGAATCAGTAATTTTTTCAGTTTGGTATCAATAACAGTGGCTTTTAGTATTACAAAACGAATTATAATTTTTTTCTGTCATGCAAATATAAATTTGACTTTTCTCGGCTTACATTAAATGAATAAACTTTGAAAAATAAATCAAACACTATTCCATTTTACACAGTTATAATTCTTATAGACAATAACTAATTATTCATATTTTTTGCTACGTTAATTTTTAATCAAGATATCTTGTCGATTACGAAAGTTTAAATTTAAACAGACACCATTGTGAGAGTTCTTTTGTTTCAATCTGATAACTAAATATTATAATGAACTAATATTTATAATAATGCTTCTAATTCAATAAATTTATATCGTTAATTAAGTTATAAGCTAAACACATATAAAATACGTATAAAATATTTTCGAATTCACTCAATTTGATTATCGAATCAATTGGTAAGTTATCGACGATTGATATTTTGGAGAGTATAATCACTAATTTATTTATAATTATTATTATTGTTATTATTAATATTAATAATAAAAGTACGCACTATGCCTACTTAATCACTTTCTGATCAGTCGTTTTTGTCATTGGAAGTTAATTGAGCGTTTCTTATTCTATTATTTTTTGTGGACCTTGATGATAAGTAAGTTTTAACGTAAAACGAGCCGAACAAATACGTAAAGAATCCTGCATTAAAACACAGTAATCCTGTAAGTGTTTTAGGAAAATCACATCCCAATCTAAATTGTTGAAAATTATGTATGAATATAAGGAAAAATTGCACAAGTTGTAATGTCGTGAGATGTCTTTTCCACCAAAGATATTTTTCCATATGCGGGCCAAATGCCGATAACATATAATATGAATACATAAGAATATGAATGAAAGAGTTAATGACACCAAGGAGAGTAGCATGACCACCTGGGAAAAATCTTACTCCAATCCAAGCTGTCACAATCATAATAGAATGATGCCATACGTGAAGAAATGATATTTGTCGTTGCTTTTTACGAAGAACAAAAAATACTGTGTCGGCAAGTTCAATAAGCTTACAAATATAATACAGCCAAACAGCTCGGGCCATCTAAAAGAAAATTCATTATTTTAATTCATGCAATTTTAAATATTGGTAAATAAAATTTATATTCTTACCCTTAAAGCTTTTGGACTCATTGACCTATCCACTGGTTGACATCCGAAACTATAATCATTCCACCAACCACTTGCAAGACCTTCATAAACTAATGTAAAACTCAAAACTACTTGAATGAAATTATAGATAATTAAAACATTTTTAAGAGAGTAAGGTTTCTTATCCCTCATATACTTTGGGCCCGCTGATGTGCTAAAGTAAATGTAAGTTACAAAAATCATTAACAGTGGACCAGGCCCGGTAACAAGAAACCAATCTTCAGTTCTTTTATCTAGAAAAAAAAAATACATTAATAAATAAGATAATAATAATTATAACGTGAATTTCCATTACTTCAATAAACATTGAATAATAAATAGGTTTAATGAGTATAATTACCAATTTTATTTTGCATAAGGTCACGGTACCAATCAACGATTCCGGGCATATTGTAAGTCTTTTGATGCTTTTCAACAGTAAAACCTGCAAATATAGATATTGTCATTACTAATAATAATTTTGAAAAGTATATGTATAAATTTACGAATTTATATTCGGAACGTATAAAAAATTAAATGCAGTCAAAATGTATTGCAAATGACTTTTTCAACTTTAATAATTATTGAAATTCATCATTATTAATTTCCGCTATGAAAATCACTGATTTTCAAAAAAAAATCGGGAAGTTATTGGTTTCATCGCAGGTTTCGAAAATTAAGTTCTCATCAGATCTCCACGTTTTGAAGTCCTAGAAAGCTACCCTGACTATTTTTACGATGGTGTCTGTATGTCTGTATATATTCTTAAAAAACGATTGTTCCAAAATTTTGTTTTTGAGATTTCTCAAAATCTAGTGAACCGAATTGCTTCAAATTTTCAGGAAATTTAATGGCAACGATACTTTTTGAATTGTCAAAATTTGGCCTTGTCAAATTTTCACTTTTTAACGCTCTGTAACGTTTTTCCTATGAGTTTGAGCAAAAAAATTAGGAAAACGGTTAACCTTGAAGGCCATCCCCGCAACTTTCCGCTAATTCTATACCTAAACGCTTGAAAGTGCACTTATGACGTTTTTGAGCTCAAAAGTATAATTTATGTGTTATTTTGAGATCTCCGAGCTCAAAGAATTAGCTGTTATAAGCTCTTGAGCTCTTCGAGCTCAAAAGTTTGCTAGAAGTTCAATAAAACACTATTATTTAAATTTTCAATCTTCAATTACTTTTGAATGAATAAATCGATTTTCACGCGGTTGGCAGCATTCGACGCAACTTTTCAAATTCTATGATAGAGTTTCAAACACAAATTGATCAGACCGGAAATTCCGGTGTAATTCGAAAAAAATCACTTTTTTCGATTTTTTTCGTCAACGATAACTCACGAACGAATTAACCGATTTTGACCGGCTTTGCGGTGATCTACGTGGTTTTTTGATGTTAAGAGCTGATTAGTTTTTGGAATTTATCGGTATAGCTGTTTAAAAGTTATTCCAAAAAAACAACATTTAAAAGAAATTTTTTTCCTAGTTTTTTTTAGATTTCTCAAAAGCCACCCACCCGTACAAATCGATTCAAATTGTATTTAAAGTCTAAGTTTGGTCAAGCCCTTTCGAATAGTACCAACCGCTATAAAATCGGTTAAGCCGTTCTAAAGTTATGAGAGGTTAACATACATTCATACATCCCTTATTAAAAAAAAAAAGATTTAAAACGATTCAACCCATGCAAAATGTATATCTATGTTTGTCAAGTTGAATCTTTTTTAATCGCTTTGAGCCATTTCAAATCTTATCAAATCTCTTTTTCTAATCAGGGAATAGTCAGGGAAGCTTTCTAGGACCTTAAAACGTTGAGATCTGATGAAAGCTCGATTTTCGAAAAACGGGGTAAAACCAATAACTTCCCGATTTTCGTAAATTTTCAATTTTCTTATGGGGAAGTTAAAAAAACACTTATAATATATGTATATACATACATATTTAAACTTTTGAACCATATCTATTTTCTAATTCAGCTCTTTGAATTATGTCGAAGTTAGATTTTATAAAGTAAATAGTTAGATTTTTATAAAATTTACTAAAAGAAAAAGAAAAACGTGCACGTCGCAGGACGCCCGATGGAAGTGATAACTTAAACTAATCTTAGTTGAACTAGAAGAAGAAGAATTGCTTTTTACTTGTACACCTTTCTCGGTTTTTACAAGGCTGATCCCCTCTTTCTCCTAGCATTTAAGCTCTACTTGCTCTTCTTTGTTTTTTGGATCTCAGCAAGTCCCACCCAATACTTTCCTCTACTTTATATTGTGGCTGTGGACCAACTTGTGCTTTCTGTACCGCATTTGCCCTGAACCTCATCTCTCAGGCTGTTGGAATAGTAACATGGGAAAACCACAGAGAAAACCCATGTTAGTACAGTCGGAGCTGGACTAAGTCTACAGTGATTGATAAGAAACTCTTCTTTATCGACCACTGGAGCATTAGGCCCCTCTCCTAGTGTGCAGAGATCCCTCGCGCTAGCCAACGCCGACTAGAGTGGTCACCCATTCAAGTTGTTGCTTAACTGGGTGATCGCCCAAGTCAGACGTGTGCCGCCCGGCTTTCTCTGCCTCTTTCAGAGGCTTGCAACGTAACGCACATATTTTTAGCACTGAGAAATATTAGTGCGTGCTGGGATCGAACCCGGGTCCTACTCTTTCGAAAAGCGGGCACTGAGCCGACTAGGCTATTGCCAGCCTCTCTCTAAGTTGAACTATTTAATATTGAAATTGTTTAACTTGAGAAAAATTTAGGTTTTTACTTAAATTTTATGTATATTAATGTGATAATGTATGGAAAGGTTATTTATTAATAAAATTTTTGATTGATTATAGAATATATTTTATTCTTAGTTGCAATTCTTGAATATGTACATTAGAATTTTGTGTATGAACATTATTAATATCATTATTTAATCCTATAAAAGAAACGGTTGGCTTATAGTAGCTGTAATAAGCAATTAAATTTTTACATCGTATGTCATCTAAAAATCTTGCAAAGACTGCATCAAGTACAGTTCCATGACTTGTAGCTTCTTTTGGCTTATTAATCATATTTAATTGTAATTTTGATTGTAGGAACGATACTAAATTTGTAGCTCGATTAGCAGCAAAATTAATATTAAAATCATCTATAACATAATATTAAAACATATAAATAAATATATCGAAGCAGTGACGCTAAAGATGTATAGAAAATCAAAATATAGACGCTGCGGTGGTAGACTTGTAGCATTTATCATATTGATAAATCGTATTATATTATATTATTGAACTTATCTTTTGTTAGTCGATTCTGCAATGTTTCGAGGATCATCTTCTGCTTGTTTCATCATATTTTTTATAATTTCTTTCAAAAACGGTAATATTTTTAGGTTATATGCTCACTGTCAACAGTATATGTCTATCGCACACTAAACACTAAGTAAGGAGAGGGGGAAGCGTCTGTCCAAAATACGGCTAGCGCTGTGGGTTAGAGTGAGAGAGGAGGACCCTCCCATAAGAATTTATCACTTCAAAAATTTTCTTTCTTGCAGTATTAGGTGCGTTCCACAAAGCACTCACAACGATTACGCTCACGACTTCGGTTTTCGCTGTTCCACTTGATTCTGGGCGTCACAATCGTAAACTCAAGTGGAATGGATTTTGGAGCGTTTTGAGCGTTTATTTGAATAATACAAATGGCGCGTCTGAAAAAACAAAACAAAAAGTTGATGAGGTTATGTTACAATTTGTAAATGGTATCATTAAGTTTTATTAATTACTAGTATACGTTGCGCGCGCAAGCGCGCGTGTGAATGTTGGTATGGAATTATCTATATTTTCATGCATATGATATATTTGACCAATCACGTTACGAATAGTATGCTTACATGATATATTTTCATATTTTTCATCTAAATTATAAGGGTGGATTGGTTAACTTGATTTATTAAAAAAAAATGCATATATACTTTAATTTTAGAGGAGTATTTAACTAATTTATGTTTGTATAAGGTAAAAGACCCCATAAGTGGCACTTTTAGCCCCTATTAGAGGCACTTTTTCTTTCAATGAAAAAATGTTCTACTTAGAATAAAAATTAAAAATTTTTTTTATCTAAAGGTCTTAAAGATTAGAAATAATATATTCATTATTGAAATTAATGATTTCATTAATTGAATAAGTACCAAAGTCAAAGAAAGTGTCAGTAATGGGGTCCCCGCCACTAATGAGGTCTTTTACCCTATAATAAAAATGGCTTTTACGGCGACAGTTGAAAATTTATTGGTGCGTCGAAATAATGCTCCACAAAGTACTAGTTATAATCTAGTAAAAATATATAACACACAGTGGTAATTAAAAACAATATTTTACATTAATTTGTATCTGTTATTTTTATTATTGGTTGTTATAGAACATTTTCTTGAAATGAAGAAGGATATCAAAAAATTAATACTAACATCGAAATACTGCCAACTCCTTCTGTCATTGCCGGATTTGCTGTTATGATACTTTATAGATTTATAATTTTTTTTAAGCTTCGTAGCTTAGAAGAGCATTGAGCTCAGTTACATTGTATTCTTTTTTATTGAGCTCCTTGGCAATTTTTTCCCAAATTTTTTTTTGGGAGAATTTCCCACTACTTAAGTCTTTTTCCATGGCTCTGTATGTCTTTAATAGTAACAAAATACACAAGGTGGACTCCACCTGTATAAAGAAGCTGGAAAATGAACATATGTAATCGACATCGTCACACATTTAACACAAACATCAAGATAATTGAATAATTTATTATTTTTCCAGTATACCTTTACTTTCGTGGATTTCAGAGTTGACATCACCTGTATCTTCAGTACTAAGACATTTTTCATTGCTAGAATTATCGTTAAAAGCGTCCTTAGACAAAAAAAGATTGGCATTATCAACATTAGCCGATTTCGAGGGTCCTGATTGTTGACTTAAGGCTTTTGTTAATAATTCTGTAGCAAAAAATGTATCTAAAATGAAAATAAGTTTCTTTTGACAAATATATTTTAACTGATAATTACCGTTGTTTATTCATTAACAATTATTATTGTTATGTTATTGACAAATGATGAAAAATATATAAATTGCGATAAATTATAAACAGCTATTATGCTTACTAAGCCTCAGTTAACAATAATATTTACCTGTTAACGCACGTTGACCATATCTGCAGAAGAAGATTTGACAACCACAACACTGTTGTGACAACAGTATCACTTTCGGCGCAATAGAATATATATTGTAGTTGTTGCCATGTTTGCTGCTTTGTTTTATAAATTGCGCTTAATTTCTCAAAACGCTCACTTCGACCCACCCACCCACCTCTTGAGATGGGTCATCGTGAGCTTGGCTTGAGCATAAGTAATGATGTCTTTAATGACGTTTTCGCCGCGACCACAACAATCGTGTGTTGTTTTTTTAATTCAAATATTTCTTTCATCCCGACAAGAAAAATGTATGCATGAG